GCTTTGCAGTGGGACCTTACCTGTTCCTCTATCCAGCGGCGCGCTGTCTTCCCGGCTTCTGTAGTGTGCGTGACAGCCGGGTCCCAAGTGCGCATGCGCAAGAAGCGGTGCTCTTTGTGAATGGTAAGGCAGCACCTGGGACACATGACAGATCCCAGAAGCCGCCGGACCAATCACAAAGCGCAGCGCCTCTCGCTCATGCGCACTGGGCACCCGGCTGTCAAGCCCAGCGCCCACACTACAGAAGTTGGGAAGACAGCGCGCCGCTGGATAGAGGAACAGGTAAGATCAAAGAACAACTCCGTGGAAGTAAGAGCGGGTACCTGTCAAATTCAGGTACCTGCTCCCCCCCCTACCCAAAGGTCAGCAGTCATCTCCAGTACTGTGTCCGCAGTCTCTGGTCATCCCCTGTACTGTGTCCGCAGTCTCTGGTCATCTCCTGTACCGTGTCCGCAGTCTCTGGTCATCTCTGGTCTCTGGTCATCTCCTGTACTGTGTCCGCAGTCTCTGGTCATCCCCTGTACTGTGTCCGCAGTCTCTGGTCATCTCCTGTACTGTGTCCGCAGTCTCTGGTCATCTCCTGTACTGTGTCCGCAGTCTCTGGTCATCTCCTGTACATGTCCACAGTCTCTGGTATCCCTGTACTGTGTCCGCAGTCTCTGGTCATCTCCTGTACTATGTCCACACTGTCATCCCTGTGTCCGCAGTCTCTGGTCATCTCCTGTACTGTGTCCGCAGTCTCTGGTCATCTCCTGTACTGTGTCCGCAGTCTCTGGTCATCTCCTGTACTGTGTCCGCAGTCTCTGGTCATCTCCTGTACTGTGTCCGCAGTCTCTGGTCATCCGCCTGTACTCCTGTCCGCAGCAGTCTCTGGTCATCTCCTGTACTATGTCCGCAGTCTCTGGTCATCCCCTGTACTGTGTCTGCAGTCTCTGGTCATCTCCTGTACTGTGTCCGCAGTCTCTGGTCATCTCCTGTACTGTGTCCGCAGTCTCTGGTCATCTCCTGTACTGTGTACGCAGTCTCTGGTCATCTCCTGTACTGTGTCCGCAGTCTCTGGTCATCTCCTGTACTATGCAGTCTCTGGTCATCTCCTGTACTGTGTCCGCAGTCTCTGGTCATCTCCTGTACTATGTCCGCAGTCTCTGGTCATCCCTGTACTGTGTCCGCAGTCTCTGGTCATCCCTGTACTATGTCCGCAGTCTCTGGTACTATGTCAGTCTCTGGTCATCTCCTGTACTATGTCTGCAGTCCATTAGTTCAGAATATTTTTTTCCTGTTTTCAGCCTCTAAAACTTATGGAGCGAAAAATACGGTCATTTTTTTTAAGTGCCTTGAAAAAGAAGACAGGGAAGGGGGGGGGGGGGGGGGGGAGAAAAAAAAAAAGAAAAAGGAGAGTGAGGGGGAAATAATGAGCAAACAATTGGAGGTCAATGACAATGCAAACTTTAAGAGAAGTTTTTGCTATATCAGCGCATAGAAAACAGGAGAGGCATGAAGGGAAGCCTTTCCAGAGGTTAATACATATTCCAATATATTACAGACATTGGGCTATCAATGGAGTCCGGGCTGCCTAGGTAATATTGCAGATGTAGCACTCAAAGCAATGAACACAATCATTACAATTGGCATAAGGACAGAGTGGTCAGAAGAATAGAGAGAGGCAATCAATGAGAAGACGAGGACAAACACTAAAAAAAAAAAAAAAAAGAGAAAAAAGACAGGGACAATCACAAAAGGGCTCCAGGGCAGCCGCGGCAGAATCGATCCTCATATCGACAGAAGGGACTGGTCAAATTATTATTATACAGTATTTATAAAGCGTCGACAGTTCGCTCAGCGCTGTACATTACAAAGGGGGACAGAACATGTGACAGAACAATACCAATACAATGCAAAACATGAGGGGATCGAGGGCCCTGCTCTTTGGAGCTTACAATCTAGGAGGGAGGGGATGGTGGTACAGGAGGAGATAGCTGTGGGGGACGGAGTGGTAGGAAGAGTGGAGGAGGTCGGCAAGTTAGCAGGGGGTGGGGTAGGCTTCCCTGTAGAGATGGGTTTTCAGGGTGCGCCTAAAGGAGAGGAGAGTAGGTGATAATTTGATGGGTTGGGGCAGGGAGTTCCAGAGGATGGGTGACACCCTGGAGAAGTCCTGGAGGCGGGCATGGGAGGAGGAGACCAGGGAACTAGAGAGAAGGAGGTCTTGTGAGGAGCGGAGTGTGCGTGTTGGGCGGTACTTGGATATTAGGTCGGTGATGTAGTTCGGGGGCAGTATGGTGGACAGCTTTGTACGTCAGCGTTAGGATTTTTAATTTGATCAATCGGAAGCCAGTGGAGGGATTGGCAGAGGGGGGTGGCGGAGATGGAGCGGTTGGAAAGGTGAATGAGTCTGGCAGCCGTATTCAGGATGGACTGAAGCGGGGATAGCCAGCGGCGAGGCAGGCCAGTGAGGAGGGAGTTGCAGTAGTCGAGTCGTGATATGATGAGGGAGTGGATGAGCTGTTTAGTGGTTTCTGGGGTTAGGAACGTGCGGATTTTGGCGATGTTGCGGAGGTGGAGTCTGCATGAGTTTGTTAAAGATTGGACTTGGGGGCTGGAAGGATAGGTTGGAGTCCAGAATGACACCAAGTACTCTGGCCTGGGGGGCGGGTTTGATGGTGGCGCTGTTGGATGTGACGGAGAAGTCAATGGGGGGTGGTGTCCGGGCTGGGGGGAAGACAAGAAACTCGGTTTTGGAGAGGTTCAGTTTAAGGAAGTGGAGCGACATCCAGTCTGATATGTCGCTCAGTAGGTGTGTGATTCAGGCAGAGACTGAGGGGGTGAGGTGGGGGGTTGAGAGATAGATTTGTGTGTCGTCGGCATAGAGGTGGTAGTTGAAGCCGTGGGAGTGTATGAGTTGGCCAAGGGAGGAGGTGTAGATGGAGAAGAGAAGGGGCCCGAGGACGGAGCCTTGAGGGACCCCAACAGAGAGGGGGAGTGAGGGGGAGGTGGTAGCATTACAGGTAACGCTGAAGGCTGGGCTGTATCCAGCCAGGGACGCCATACCCGCAGGAATTTTGAGTGGGTATCGAACAGTACAGCCGTCAATTTTTCATTGACCATTATGAAATTCATCCGGTTTTTGACAGCCTCGAAGCTGAGGAGAGGAGTCTTCCAGGCCTTCGCAATTGTCAATTTAGTAGCCATAAAATAAATTGTGATGCCAGTTGCCGTTCAGGGCGGAGAAGGCCCTCCAATGGTTTAAATAGGAGCGCTTCGTACAGGTTGCGCTTAATGTCTGCGTGAAACATAGTGCAGAGAAGGGCATAAACCCTAATCCACAATCTGCTAACCTTAGGGCAAGTCCACCAGATGTGAACCATAGTATCCCCACTTGTTGGCACACCCCGAAAAACAGGCCGGAATGTATGTAGGAATAAAACTAGCTAGGCGAGCAGGTGTATAATACCATCGATAAAGAATTTTGTAGGCATTTTCAAGAATGATGACATTCCTAGAACATTTAGATACTGCTTGGGTCATGGTATGCCAATTCCTGTTGGTCCAAAGTCCCTCCAAGTTCCGACTGCCAACGTTGATGATAAGAACGGACCGGAGGGGTTCTATAAGAAATAATGGAAGAGAAGACCAAAGAGATCAGGCCCAGAGCATGGGGTCTATGTCTGCACTGGCTTTCAAAGGGGGTCAGACGGTCAGGTCCCGAGTGCGTCCATATTAGTGTATTAATAAAGTGACGGAGTTGAAGGTAGCCAAAGTGTTCCCGTAAAGGGATGTTATAGAAGAGCGCAAAGTTTCAAAGGTGAGTATTCGAGTAGGAGATAGTAACGAATGTACATCATAAAAACCATGTGTTTGCCACCAAGCAATTTGCCTAGGATTGTCCTGGCCTGGAGGGAACAACGGGTTAATGTAACAGACGTAGCAACGGTAAATGGGCAGAAATAAGGCCAGCGGAGTATTTAACCATTAGCTGCCCGGCCTATAGCCGTTTTTTGGCGGCCGCAAAAATGCTGTAGCTTTCCGGGGTATACGCCATTCGGCGTCCTCCCGCACAGGCGCAGTTTGCACGGCGCTGATCTGTCACTGGCCGTGTACCTCGGATACGGCCGATGACAGATCTGAGTACCGGCCCCTGTTGCCGGTACCATGTGACCTGCTGTGACCAATCACAGCAGGTCACATGACAGTTGTATACAATGGATGGCTTCATTCATGCCATCCATTGTATACTAGTGTCTAGCTGTGAATGGTCACAGCAGGTCACATGCACATGTCATGTGATTAGCTGTGGCCAAATCACAGCTAAGCACAAAAAAAAAAAAAAAAAAAAAAAACCCTGAATGAATCGATGTCATTCAGGTAAATGCTTGCTTATAGCAAAGTAATTCTTTGCTATAAGCAAATTGTGTAAAAAAAAAAAAAAAAATACTGATCATTTCCCCAAAGTAGTACAATGTTACTATGGTAACATTGTACTACTTTGGTCATAGTAAAAATATAAAAAAAATCTTAAAAAAAATAAAAAAAATTTAATAAAAAGTTAAAAATAATAAAATATTAAAATATATATATATATTATATATATATATATATATATATTATATATATATATATATATTTTTTTTTTTTTTTTTTTTTTTTTCATACTGTCACCAGTCAGTGTCCCTGTTCACCGCCATGCCAGTTATATGATGACGCTGTACTGCACTGGTGACAGTATGTAAAAAAAAAAATAGTGAAAACTAATTTTTTTAATTTTTTCATTTTCCGAAAAATTATGACAAAAAAAAAATACAACTTCAAAAAACTCGCCATGCCTCTTATGAAGTACGTTGGACTGTCTACTCTGCAAAAAGGGGTCCTTTGGGGGATATCTGTACTGTCCTGACATTTGGGGGATATCTGTACTGTCCTGACATTTGGGGGATATCTGTCCTGTCCTGACATTTGGGGGATATCTGTACCGTTCTGACATTTGGGGGATATCTGTACCGTTCTGACATTTGGGGGATATCTGTACTGTCCTGACATTTGGGGATATCTGTACTGTCCTGACATTTGGGGGATATCTGTACTGTCCTGACATTTGGGGGGATATCTGTACTGTCCTGACATTTGGGGATATCTGTACTGTCCTGACATTTGGGGGATATCTGTACTGTTCTGACATTTGGGGGATATCTGTACTGTTCTGACATTTGGGGGATATCTGTCCTGTTCTGACATTTGGGGGATATCTGTACTGTTCTGACATTTGGGGGATATCTGTCCTGTCCTGACATTTGGGGGATATCTGTCCTGTCCTGACATTTGGGGGATATCTGTACTGTTCTGACATTTGGGGGATATCTGTACTGTCCTGACATTTGGGGGATATCTGTACTGTTCTGACATTTGGGGGATATCTGTACTGTTCTGACATTCTTGGACCTCAAGAAATTAGATTGGCTGTCAGTACTTCAGGATTGATCAATTTTCAGGTCTATACCATAGTTTGTGAACTCTATAACTTTCCTACAAACTAAATAATACATCCTAATTTGGGTTATTTTCACCAAAGACATGTAGCAGAATACATCTCGGCCTAAATTTATGAAGAACAATTCTTTATTTGTAAACTTTTATAACAGAAACAAACAAAAACATGTTTTTTTTTTCAAAATTTTCGGTCTTTTTTTGTTAATTTAGCAAAAAAAAATAAAAACTCCAGCGGTGATTAAATACCACCAAAAGAAAGCTCTAGTTGTGTGAAGAAAATGATAAAAATTTAGTTTGGGTACAATGTTGTATGACCGCGCAATTGTCATTCAAAGTGTGAGAGCGCTGAAACGTGAAAAACTGGCCTGGGCAGGAAGGGGTAAAATTGCCCGGTATGGAAATGGTTAATAGAGTCCCAAAGACGAAGCGAGAGCGTCAGGCTAAGGGTTGATGGACGATGAGAAAAAGGAAGCCACGGTAAAGAAGAGAGTGGTATCGGATGGGAGTCTAACACATCCACAGTAGCCCACAAGGGGAAATGGTGAGATGCATGAATATGAGCTAGGGGGGCGATATTAGCTGGACTGGAGATTTGGGACAGATAATCCCCCCTCACTCTTTCGAGCAAATAAAATAGGTTTACTAATTCTGGGTCGAGAAGAACTCCAAATAAAGGACAAAAGTTTTGGCTGATGGATCCGCAATATATGTGAAGGAACCTGAACTGGTAAAACGCGAAATAAATCCAATAATTTAGGGAGATAGGTCATACGGATCGCATTGATTCTACCGAACCATGAGACCAGGAGGACAACAACTCGGCCAGTTCTTGGAAGACGGCGGGGAAAGAAATCTGTACATTTCAATGATAGCACTTTGTGAACTTCCACCGCAGGCTCTGCAGACAGCCATGGATAGCTGTGGCCACCATAGACCTGTCACTGAAATGTACAAAGCTCGGGGGCCACAGTTAGCCGCTCACAGGTGGCTGATGCAGCTGCAGAAATCAGATTTCCTGCTGTTGTCATTTGCACCGGCGCTAGCGCCCCCGATCGAATATGGCCTTACAGTAGTTCTAAACCCTTACATATACCTAGTGAAGTGACTGGCCTCAGGTGATAAACAGGTACAACTTACGTAGGGGGATTTGTTTCATTTCTGTGTATCTGCAGCCCTCTCTTTTCTACAGCCATTCAAAGTCCAGAATTTTATAAAGTTTGCTTGAGCTTTCAGAAATCATGAGGTGGGGAGCTGACATTGCACTCTGCAGAGCTCAGCAAAGAGAGTTCTTATAGCTGACTGGAGGGAAGGAAAACTCCCCCTTTTTCACACAGCACACAGGAACAGAGCTGAGGCTGTCAATCACAGGCTGTGTGCTGGAGCTCCCTCCCCTCTCACCATATTTCTCCTGATGTCAGGAAAATTTGTCAGAAGTAATTCATTCTGACAGCAGAGGAACAAGGCAGCAGACAGAAATTACACTTAGTGCTTCTGAGACAAGTACACACTATAAAGGGATATGCTTTGTTCCTATTTCATGTCTGAGGTTTACAAACCACTTTACACCATTGATCTTTTTTAGCTATCTGTAAGGGGGGCATCCTTTCCAGTGACCACAAATGTAAGGAAATATTCTTCCCAGAGACCAAGATGCTAATGCACTGTGAGCTGTAGATTTAGAAATTATTGGCAGGGGTTCTATCAGACCCAAAAAGTGACTTCAAGGGTTCCTCCATGGTAAAAAGTCTGCCTTAAGGAGTAAATACAATGACCATATCACTTCACAGCAGTGTAGTTCGATGACAGCAAACAGAGCGAACAGATCCATTATTAATTAATAAATTTCGATGATAAAAAGTTAAGGTGTTCCTAAACCCCGGACCCCGCATTCGCTATATCCGCTCTCCCAGGACCCTGCATTCACTAAATCTGGTCTCCAAGGACCCTGCATTCACTATATCCGGTCTCCAAGGACCCTGCATTCACTATATCCACTCTCCCCAGACCCTGCATTCACTATTAGAGATGAGCGAATTATTCAAAAATTCGATTCGGCTGATTCGCCGAATTTGAGGAAGAAATTCGATTCGATGCGAATTTATTCGCTACGAATTTACTTATAAAAAGGTTTTCTAGGCTTCAGAGAGCCTTTAAATTAGTGCAGAACACTGTACCTTTAATTTAAATGCCCTTGGAGATGAGGAAGGAGAAGGAGAAGGAGAAGGATGAGAAGAAGGAGAAGGAGAAGGATGAGAAGAAGGAGAAGGAGAAGGATGAGAAGAAGGAGAAGGATGAGAAGAAGGAGAAGGAATGAGAAGAAGGATGAGAAGAACGATGAGAAGAAGGAGGAGAAGGAGAAGGAGAAGGATGAGAAAGAAGGAGAAGGATGAGAAGGAATGAGAAGGATGAGAAGAAGGAGAAGGAGAAGGATGAGAAGAAGGAGAAGGATGAGAAGAAGGAGAAGGAGAAGGATGAGAAGGAGAAGGATGAGAAGAAGAAGGGTGAGAAGAAGGAGAAGGATGAGAAGAAGAAGGATGAGAAGAAGGAGAAGGAGAAGGATGAGAAGAAGGAGAAGGATGAGAAGCGAAGGAGAAGGATGAGAAAAAGGATGAGAAGAAGGAGAAGGATGAGAAGAAGGATGAGAAGAAGGAGAAGGATGAGAAGAAGAAGAAGGATGAGAAGAAGAAGAAGGATGATAAGAAGAAGAAGGATGAGAAGAAGGAGAAGGATGAGAAGAAGAAGAAGGATGAGAAGAAGGAGAAGGATGAGAAGAAGGAAGAAGGATGAGAAGAAGGAGAAGGATGAGAAGAAGAAGAAGGATGAGAAGAAGAAGAAGGATGAGAAGAAGAAGAAGGATGAGAAGAAGAAGAAGGAATGAGAAGAAGAAGAAGGATGAGAAGAAGAAGAAGGATGAGAAGAAGAAGAAGGATGAGAAGAAGAAGAAAGGATGAGAAGAAGAAGAAGGATGAGAAGAAGAAGAAGGATGAGAAGAAGGAGAATTCTAAGCCGGCAAAAAGTGTATCTGCAGAGCTCCGCTATTTCTTAGCGGAGCTCTGCAGATACACTTAGCGGAGCTCTGCAGATACACTTAGCGGAGCTCTGCAGATACACTTTTTGCCGGGAATTCTTCTTATTTTCATCCTTCTTCTTCTTCTTTATCCTCATCCTCATCTTTTCAGAAGAAGAAGAGGATGAGGATGAGAGAGGAAGAAGAAGAAGAAGAAGTAGGATGAAAATAAGAAGAATTCCAAGCCGGCAAAAAGTGTATCTGCAGAGCTCCTCTATTCTGTAGATACACTTAAGGAGCTCTGCAGATTTACACTTTTTGCCGGCTTGGAATTCTTCTTATTTTCATCCTACTTCTTCTTATTTCTTTTCATTCTTCTTTTCATGAAGAAGAAAAGAAGAATGAAAAGAATGAAAAGAAGAATGAAAAGAGAGAAGAATGAAAGAAGAATGAAAAGAAGAATGAAAAGAAGAATGAAAAGAAGAATGAAAAGAAGAATGAGAAGAATGAAAAGAATGAAAAGAAGGAGAAGAAGAATGAAAAGAAGAAGAATGAAAAGAAGAAGAATGAAAAGAAGAATGAAAAAAGAAGAAGAAGAAGAAGAATGAAAAGAAGAAGAAGAATGAAAAGAAGAAGAAGAATGAAAAGAAGAATGAGAAGAATGAAAAGAAGAAGAAGAAGAATGAAAAGAAGAAGAAGAAGAATGAAAAGAAGAATGAAAAGAAGAAGAAGAATGAAAAGAAGAAGAAGAATGAAAAGAAGAAGAAGAATGAAAAGAAGAAGAATGAAAAGAAGAATGAGAAGAATGAAAAGATTCTTCTTCTTTTCATTCTTCTTTTCATTCTTCTTCTTCTTTTCATTCTTCTTTCATTCTTCTTCTTTTCATTCTTCTCATTCTTCTTTTCATTCTTCTTTTCATTCTTCTTCTCATTCTTCTGCTTCTTTTCTTCTTCTTCATTTTTCATTCTTCTTTTCATTCCTCTTCTTTTCATTCTTCTTTTCATTCTTCTTCTCATGAAGAAGAAAAGAATGAGAAGAATGAAAAGAAGATGAAAAGAAGAAGAATCTTCTTTGAGAAGAATGAAAAGAAGAATGAAAAGAAGAAGAAAGAAGAATGAGAAGAATGAAAGAAAAGAAGAATGAAAAGAAGAATGAGAAGAAGAATGAAAAGAAGAATGAAAAGAAGAATGAGAAGAATTGAAAAGAAGAATGAAAAGAAGAAGTATTCCAGTACAGCAAAAAGTGTATCTGCAGAGAGCTCCGCTATTTCTGACAGTTCTCTGACAGTTCCTTCACATTTACAGCGGTTGAAACATTGTATCTATTTATTTCCGAATAAAAAACATCTGTATCCTAAATGGAAACAAATAGATACAATGTTTCAACCGCTGTACATGTGAAGGAACTGTCAGAGAACTGTCAGAAATAGCGGAGCTCTCTGCAGGGACACTTTTGCCGGCTGATCGGGAAAAATCCGATTCGCGCACCCGAATTATGCAAATATTCGGATTCGACGCGAATCGAATTTTTCCTGAAATTCGAAACGAATTCCACTTCGCCTGGTTATCCGGTTCTCCCAGGACCCTGCATTACACGCTATAATCCGGTCTCCCAGGACCCTGCATTCACTATATCCGCTCTTTTTCCCCGGAAACCCTGCATTCACTATATCCGGTCACCAAGGACCTGCATTCACTTATCCGCTCTCCCGGACCCCGCATTCACTATATCGGTCTCCCCGGACCCCGCATTTCACTATATCCGCTCTAACCTGGACCCGCATTCACTATATCCGCTCTCCACGGACCCTGCATTCATTATATCCGGTTCTCCAGGACCCTGATTCATTTTTATCCGGTCCCCAGGGCCCGCATTCATAACCGCTTCCCCCGGGTCCAGCATTCAATTT